GCGAATGTTGTCGTGGAAGGAGTTCCTAGACAAGCAGACGGGGCGAGTTGCGGGGTGTTCATGTTGATGTTTGCCACGCTGCTCCAACGTGGTGATAGGCCGCCTTTTCCGTTCACTGCTCGTGAAATCCCGCGTATTAGACGACAACRGGCGYGCTGTGTTCTGGAAGGTTGTTGTCTTARCTRRTAGCGTCTAGTGATTTTCGAATACACGACACATGTTGTTGTTTTCGGATGAGACATCTTCTGCATGACATGACATTTCGTTCTTTCTTTCAAATGTTGTTTTGAAAAGCGGTGATCTTCTTCTTGTGGACTCGAGTTTGGCATTCCGCTGCTGTGAAATCAACCTTCTCTACCTTCTGCGTTCCAAATTTCCAGAACATCTCGTCGATCCCCTTTTGCGGCATGATGTGTTCAACGYCATCCTGGAGTTTGGTTGTGTTCTCGGGGGAGCAAGGAGGCGTTAGTCCGCCGACATCCGAAGTATAGATGTCGATGCCTTGTGCGATTCTCTTTCTGTGCGTTGTGTTGTCTGGAAAGTCAACCTTGAAATGGACTTGTTGCCCCTGTCTTGTGATGTCGGTGTGCAAATTCGCTGAATAAGATCGTTTGTGTTCTCGCATGTCTTGTCGTCCTTTAATGATACACACTTCTCATAATGGTGGGTCGACTGCTACGTGGACATGCTGCCTCTATCTTGTGATGTCTCTATGCAAATTTCCTAAATGAAGGCGTTTGTGTTCTCGCGTGTCTTGCCATCCCTCAATGACGTCCGGATTCCTCGCACACATGATGGTGGGCATGACGCTGCGCGCTATGTAGCACCCATAAGAGCACTGCCAGGAGGCTTAATCTGCCCGACCTCGTTCAGGGCAGGCGCACTATGTGCCACCCTTGACAGCACTGCGCTGCTCTTATGGGTGCCAGGGTTGGAAGGGTCATTTCCACTGGCCAGASACGCGAGAGTCATCTCCTGTCCTGCTCGGGCACTGCCACCAGGGACTGCGATATTCCGACAATCTAATAAAATAAGGACTCGACGAGACTGGAAACACCTGGCTGTGCGGGTTTGGCCACGGCCTGGCCTGCACGGTAGTGGTGCCTGGTGGCAGGCTCCCGCTTGTCGTGGCCAAGTAGGCATAAACTGGAGGCCGCCTGCCACACGCCACCCRTTGAGTGTGGATGTAAGCACAATTCCCTGCCATCATAAACTCTATGTTCAACAAGTATGGATGTCGACACACTTCCCTGCTATACGAGTTTCGCACGCAAGATAGACCGTTTGCATAGTATGCRAATTGAATGAAATAAACTTAAAGTGTATGATATTGGGGACGTGTGCTGACGGTGTGCAYAATTCTCYAATGACATTTGGTTCTGAATCGGGTTCAGCAAGTATGGATGTCGTAAACTTCAGGCTAAACAAGTATGGATGTCTGCACAAAAGTGCGTAGGCCCGTCTACGAGTACACTTTTAAATACCTCCACATCTCATTAAACATCCAAAAGAATGTCTCGACGGAGAGGATGGGTATGCCTACATTGATTACGCCTTAGAACAAGGGCATTAGATGTTTGTCCGGATCCTGACTTCAATATCTAGGGTGAGTGGATGGGCAAGCCTGAAATTGCACCTCGAAATAAAGTCCGGATCCCGACAAACATCCAACAACATGTCTGAGGGGAGATAATGGGCATGGGTATATTGAGTCAATTGAAGCCGAAAGTGGATTCGTTCAAAACATGACAAATATAATGTTCAGTTTTAACGAATAACATGTTGAAGTTTAACTTTACTTGACTGAGAGTGGTCAGTAAAGGGCCTTCGTGTTTCTTGACTAAGTTGTCTGTCTTCACTCACATGAGGGAAGAGACCTCTCTCATATCGGCATTTCAGTATATTCCCAGAGGAGGGAAGGGACCTCTTTGGGGCCAGCTCCAAACATCTTTCTTGAGACTGACGGGAGGTCTCTTGCAAGTGTTTGATGTTGGTTGTCTTGTTGTTGTTCAGTGCCTCTTAAGACTGAAGGGACGTCTTTTGAGAAATGTTTGTCCTGTTGCTTGGAGCATGGATGGCCTGATTGTGGGATCTGAGATGCTTATCTGATTGTCTGTGCTTAGGGTTTCCTCTTCTCTAACCTAAAGATGCATTGATTGTTGGGGCTAGCCTGAGCCTTACAACAGTAGATTGCAATCTGGTGGGGTCAGCAGGTCCCCGACGCGAGTGTCGAATTTCGTAGTTGACTGAGGGTAAGACTCCGGGGGTCTTGCCAGTGAGGGCAAAAGGGGTCGGATGGGGTGGGGCAGTCAGCGCCCTAAGCCAAAAACTGGTGGGTGAGCCGGTCTCCGACTGCAGTGGTCGAATCCGGGTACGGGACAGTCTGACTGATGGGAGGTCTACTGTCATAAGGTGACCAGATCCACTATAGTCTGGGTGTCCTAGCGAGAGTGCCAAAGGGCTGCCATACTCGAGTAGTGGGTATGGTGGTCCTGACCTTGAGGCAGGTCAAAGGGGTCGTCAAGACAAATGGTATGACTGGTCCTGGCCTGAGGCGGGCTGAATAGGGTATGTCAGATTGACGGGAGGTTTGTCATTCCTTGCCAGTGGTGGGCCAAAACCAAGGCAATCAATGACTCTTGGGTGCGAGGACCTGTTTTGTGATATGTGTTGATTTATTATTTTATTATTTTAAATTTTTGTTATTATTATTTTTTTTTATGGTTTTTATCTTGTTTACTTGTTGCTTGGCTGTTAATTTTTTGGAAGCCTGCTTGCTGGGGACACAGTCTGTTATCTGTGGAACTCGTTTCTTTTGCACGTACATAAAAATTTACTTGAAGTTCCCAGACCAGAGAAAAGAAAAGGGGTTTGGTATGCCCTTTCGTTTTATCTAAGAAGTTGAGGAGACGCCTCACTCAAATGAGAGAAAAAAAACAGGGCTTGGTATCCCATGACCAGGGAACAAAGAAAAAGGGTTTGGTATGCCCTACCCCTAGCATGGCGGACAAAATAAGTTTCACGAGCACTGAGATCAGAGTGAGAATATCCTCGACTTTGCTGTCGAGGTGAAGGGTGAGGTAACTCTTCTGCTGCAAAAATTCAGACAGGAAATAAATTTCAGAACGACAAGAGGTGAAAGCCAGCAGCAAATCAGAAAGTGAAATATAATCTTTCTTAAATTWATTTGGTGGCCGACGAGCGGCCTGGTTCATAAGGAACCT